GCTGAGTTTATTTGCATAGTTGTAAGAATTTAGTGTGCAAATCCCATACTTCTGTTTTAATTTTAAAGGTTCTCTTTTGACTAAAACTGGAGCTTAAGTGACTTGATATATTATGCTTCTAAAATTGTATCTTCTAGATGCTTTTTTTTCCTGGATTTAGTAATTAGTGAACTTTATCATGTTTTCCCATTCCTTGCTCAGTCTGTAACAGTTTGGTCTCTTCTTTCTTTCCACTTTCAAAATACTCATTTGCTGCTTTCTCTACCTAAACTTGACAATTGCTATGAAATCCATACAAATAGCCAGCCCAGCCCAGTACTTCACAATCTTACCCTCTCTATCAAAATTCCTTTGTGTCTTTTGTTTGCTGCTGTGGTCTCTGCTACACTGGGGCAGCAGGGGGCGATGGTGAAGGAAGTCCCTGCAGTGCCTGCAGAAGAGGATATGAAGATAGGTGAGTCCAGGTGAGCATAAGGCCTGTGAATTGGCTCCTCTTTGCTCAGTACCTGCAGTGTGGTGAGGTGGAGCAAGTTATCTCCTGTGTTCTATCAGCATTCCTAGATCCAGGGGATTTCAGGGTTTGTGGCCATTCTGTTATGACTGACAAACATGAGGAAGGAATTCTTTCTGTGAGAGACTGAATTATCTGCAAAGCCCTCGATACACTAAACTTTCACCTATTTCAGTTGTTTTATGTAACTGACAGTTTCTTCAGGAAGAACTGTTATTTAGGACCCTTTTTGTATGTGTTCTGTTCTCCCCAGAGTTCATTATTTAAGTAAAAGCTTGGCCAACAGAAACAGTTTGTAGTGGGAGATTTGAATTTGGAAGTGTCTTTTCATTTTGAAAGGGACTTCTCAGAAAGTTCTTAGTACCTCTTAAACCAGTGATCTGCAAATGTCAGTGAGCTGTCTGACCCTTCTGGTTGTTGGGTACCCTCTCTGATTTTTGTGCAGTAATGCAGTTGGTGCAGTAATGTAGTTTGTATAGCTGATCCTCTTCCTCAGGGAAAAGAAAGTCATGGGCCATGTGATTTTTCTTCCCCCCCAACCATGTGCCACCTACACACGTTAGAAGAGCAAATTCTTTATTTTAGGTAGTTCCGGATGTAAATTAGGGTAGGTACTGAGCTGTGGTATACCTTGAGAAGTCTGTGGGTGGCATCTGGTAACATCTGACAGTTTCCAATACTAAGAAGTTATGAAGCTTAGGAATAGTAATGAAAAGTTGAATCACTAGTTGCAGAGAGTTTTCTTGCTTTCAGAACTGATGGGTATGTGGCTTTGTCATCTTTGACTAAAACTTCTGTATCAACAACTTGGAAGTAACTTGAGGTTCTCTAAGGGTACCCATGCCCACCTGGAATCCATGCCCTGTTTACCTAACTTGTTTGCAGGAAAAAAGCTAAGAAAACAATTAAGCTCAAAGTTTGCTTAACTGACAAAAAACTGAGGGGTGTTCATCAGAGGCTGTGTCTTGCAGATTCAGCAACTTGCCTGAAACTAATGAATGATGTTGACCTTTAGCATTAGCAATTTAAGTTCAAGTTCAGCACGCACTAGGATAATCTAAAGTTAAATCAAAAAATGCCATAAAATTGCTGCAGTGCTTAAGACTCAAAGAAAATACAGTCACTAAAACAAAGGGCCCTGACTGGAATGCTCAGTGACAATGCAACTCCAGAGTTGTGATTTTGATATGGGAGAGGGGAAGAGACTCAGGAACCTGAGTGCTGTGTTGATCTGCTGAAACAATCTGGTGAAAGGTTGTGCCGCCTTATTCTTATCACTGAGGAAGTTTGAAACACTCTCCTGTCACTCGAGATGAATTTTTGGGCAGTATGTCTTCCTTCAGGAATTGCTGTGGATGTCTGGAACGAAAGCTGATTTTGTTTTTTCAATAGATTAAGAAATACATATAGTATATCCAATTTTTCAGTTGAGAAAATTGAAACAACAATAAATGTTTCAAAATGTTTGAGTGGATAGGGCTAGAAGGAAAAGTACAATGCAGTCCTTAAAAAACTTCTACAGATTCTCCTCTAGGAGATCCTAAGGGATTTGAGTTCTCTGAGCTTCCCACTACAAGAAGGCTAATGAATACAATTACCTGAACTGTCAGAATATCACTGCTGACATACTCCTATAATATACCAGACCTGTCCAGATGCTCACTGCTTGTGAGGAATAATTAACAGGTAATCTGTCATCTCTCTGTATGTGTGGGTACAGAGTTTTTGAGTAAAGCAGAGCAAAGAATGTGCAACAATATTCACTGTGCTCAGTCTGTTCTTGTCAGGAATTAATTAAATTGTTCTTTAGTCCTACCTAAATGATAAAATTATATGTAGGGCTCTTGCAAAAGCTGAACTGACCAAGGGAACCTGCCAAACAAGTTATCCTTCAGTTACTGATGCCTTGGAGAAAGAAAGTTCTTCAGACAAGACTATTGGAGCAACTGATGCCTCAATGTTAAGGAAGGTTTGCAGCCAGATTTCATTTCCACTTCATCTGGAATGTGTTTGCCAGTGATTGTTAGGTATCTGGGAGACTTCTATGATCCTGATTCCTGTACCAGATACTCAGATACCCATGTGAGTTACCAATACATTTTTCATAGTGACACTGACTTCCGTTACATCTGGATTAGGATTAGGGATTAGGATTAGATTAGGATTAGGATTAGAATTAGCATTAGGATTTAGATTAGATTAGGATTAGATTAGGATTAGATTAGGATCAGGATTAGGGATTAGGATTAGATTAGGATTTAGATTAGGATTAGATTTGGATTAGATTAGGATTAGGATTAGATTAGTATTAGTATTTAGATTAGATTAGGATTAGATTAGGAACTGGGAAAGGAGGAACGGCTGGAATACCCTACTTCCTGTTCCTCTTGATCTACTTCCTGGTCCTCCAACCCCACTTCTGGGTCCTCTTGATCTACTTCTGGTTCCTCTAACACTACTTCCGGGTCCTCTGGATATACTTCTGGTTCCTCTTGATCTACTTCCGGGTCCTCACGCACTACTTCCTGTTGCTCTTGATCTACTTCCGGGTCCTCATGCCCTTTCCCCCCCGGTTCCCCCCGGATCTGCTTCCAGCCCCTCCCATCCTACTTCCGGGTCCTCCAACCCTACTTCCGGTTCCTCTTGATCTACTTCCTGTTCTTCTTGATCTATGTCCGGCTCCTCCAACCCTACTTCAGTGTCCTCTTGATCTACTTCCGGCTCCTCCCTCCCTACTTCCGGTTCCTCTTGATCTACTTCCGGGTCCTCCTTTCCTAATCCTAATCCTAATTCCAGGTTTATCGGAATAATCAATTAATTTTGTATGATATTTTAGAGCATTGTTGTTGCATGTCTGTGTGAAATTTGAATCGTTTGCAGCAGAGAATGTGCCCCACTGGACCTGTTACGTACAAACAGAGAAGGATTGGTGGCTGATGTGGTGGTTGGAAGCATTTTGGGCACAGTGATCATGAAATGATGGTTTTCAATTCTTCAAGAAGTAAAGAGGAGGATTAGTAGAACTGCTACCTTGCACTTCTGTGGGGCAAACTTTGGCCTGTCTAGGAGGTTGGTTGGGCGAATCACTTGGGAGGCACTCCCAAAAGGCAAAGGAGTCCAGGAAAGGTGGACAGTCTTCAAGAAACAGAGGAATAGGCTGTCCCTGTGGGCTGAGAGATGAGCTGATGGGCAGGACCAGCCTGGCTGAACAAAGAGCTTTGGCTGGAACTCGGGGAAAAAAGGAGAGTTTATGACCTTTGGAAGAAGGGGCAGGCAACTGGGAAGGACTAAAAGGATGTGAGATTATACAAAGGAGTCCAGGAAAGGTGGACAGTCTTCAAGAAACAGAGGAATAGGCTGTCCCTGTGGGCTGAGAGATGAGCTGATGGGCAGGACCAGCCTGGCTGAACAAAGAGCTTTGGCTGGAACTCGGGGAAAAAAGGAGAGTTTATGACCTTTGGAAGAAGGGGCAGGCAACTGGGAAGGACTAAAAGGATGTGAGATTATATTATACAGGAAGAAAATTAGAAAGGCCAAAGCCCAACTAGAACATAATCTGGCTACTGCAATAAAAGGCAATAAAATTTTATAAACAAGAAAGGCCAAAGCCCAACTAGAACATAATCTGGCTACTGCAATAAAAGGCAATAAAATACATTTTTATAAACATATTAGCAATGAGAGGAGGGCCAAGGAGAATCTCCATACTTTACTGGATGTGAGGGGAAACATAGTTAAAAAGGATGAGGAAGATACCAAGGTACTTATTGCCTTCCTTCCCTCAGCCCTTAATAGTGAGACCAGTTGTTCTCCAGATACCCTAAAACCATGAATATCTTGGTAGCACTTCGTGCTTAACCATGATTTGAAGACTGTGGTGCCAAGCTACAGACTCTATGTGCAGTGTGCCTGTTAGTTTACAGATATGAATTAATGCTTGTATCTGTTTGCATAAATGATTCTGCTTTTGTTTCTTGCAGTTAGACAAATGTGAAAGGCACAGACTGGAAGGGTCTTGGACAAGCTTTCTCCCCTCTTGCTGTTTCTAAATGTTTCAGTGGTTTAGAGCAATGCACATCATGCTCCATAGTTACCCCTTGAAACATTTTGTTTAGGAACTCAATCTCAAACTGCAGTGATAATTTTAACATCTAGAATTGTGTTGTGGGCAAAGGCTAAAGACAACAGCTGTCTTTCAAATTGGAAAATATTTTGTCCATTTCAGTATTATTTGGCCAGATTATTTTAAAATGATAATATTCAAAGGGACCTTCTTTTGATAGTCATTATTTTCCCCAGTAATCCTGTCAGCAGGATCTCTCCTGCAATGGGAATTTGGATATTTGTTTTTGCACGTTGAAAGAAAACCGGTGTGGTGTTTTTGTTCCAGCTATGTTTCTAGTCCTCTTTACATTTTTATTTCTGCTTACATCTTCATTCAGCCTGGAATGCTGAAGGAAGTCTTAAAAACAGATTATTTATGTATGTCAGCAAGAGTGTTCAGACTTTGATTTTCATTGTTATTGGAATGGATGTATTCATACCTTTGTTTAAGGCTAATTTTAGGTATTTAATTTCAATGGGATAGAGAACTGAAAGCAGGAGTCTAAATTACCTTTTTAGGTAGAGGTGGAGACACAGCAGTCCAGTGTGCAGCGATGGAATTGGCACTGGTTGCTTTAAACCCATGAGCAGCAAAAAAAAGTCTTAGATTAAAATATATTTTAATTTTTTAAAAAATAATTGATGAAGATAGATAACTATTACTTTTTGCAGATGAACTACAGACGTTCAACCACAAGAGAGCAGTGTTACACCGGATCTGTGCTGCAAGTCTTACATTTAGAGGAACTTCTGCTTGGTCAGTATTTAAGTCTACCAACAGAATTGTAATCCCTTTGTATTTTTATAGTGGTATTCAGTAAATTGTAAAGGTACATGGTTCTAACCTACTAGTGTTATGGTAATTATGTGCATTTAGTTTACTAAGAGGTAGTCACTAGGCTAGTTTATTCTTTTCATAAGACAAATATGCTACTTTATTTTCTAGGAGAATAGGCTCAAGGTCTTTCTGTGGTGAGTTAGAGAAGTGCTTCCTCTGGCAGTAGTCTTTTCCTGAAGAAATATCCTCTCTTATCCCATGTGAAATGGCCATTGGAGGAAATTTATCCTTGTGGTGCAGTGCAGATGTAATGAGCACTGCCACAGAATCGTGGGGATTCTTGTAAATAACTTTTGATCGCACAAGTGAAAATATGCTGCTTCTTACTGACTAAAAGGCAAAGTGACTATGGTGCATAAAAATGCACAATTTTTCTTTCAGATGAAAGACTATACACTTCTGTAAACATGTGTGCTTTGCTCATCACATGTGCATGGCTTGTACATATTTAGGCACATTCACAGAACTGAGTAAGTTTATGTTTCCAGAGTTGGGCAGAGTTCAACCTGCAGTAATGCTTATGCATTGCCATCCACTTCATTAGAGCTGCTGGAGTGGAACTAAAGGAAGTATTTATCTACATATTTTTAAATGAGGAATACCATACCCATCTTATCACCTTGAACTGTGGAGAACTTGTGTGTTTAAGATCTCTATTCTTGCCATCTGTGTTTCCTCTTTGATACTCTGCATTGTACTTACCACCAAAAGTTAGACTAGATTGGTTGTTCCTCTTCTCTGTTTTATTTTATAGTTGTTATGCTGTAACACAGCAGCTGTGTTTGCTGGGAGGCAGTTGCCACTGAGCAACAGCTGCTGGTATAAAGGAGGAGTATGAAGAAATTCAAAGCAAGCTTAGTTATAGTTTCTTCCCATGTTATTGTTGCCTTATGGTCGTTTGATGCACTGTCACCTTACAGTTTACAGCCTGTGAGTATTTGTCTTGTTTTTTCCTGTAGCAAGATCTGTAGGAATCTGTGTTAGTAGTCCTGAAATAGCAGAAGTTGTGTGTTCTACTACTGAAGAGAGGGTTTTCTGTCCTTTAGAATACTGCTTTTTCTGTTGTTTCTTACTGAATTTTGTCTGGCTGGTATTTTACTCATCTTTTTCCATTACATTTCTTCTAGTAGGTGTTTGCTTGATTTACATACCATGTTCGACTGTCATCTACTGGGGCAGGCTCAATAAGCCAGGCTGGTTTGTTGTGCTCTTTCCTGCTCGTGAGGAAGTGTTTCTGAAGAGAGGTCAGGCTCAATGTTCTTGTTTTTAATTCGTTGTGCAGAGTGTACAGTGGGAAAGTAATCTGAACCTCAGTATTTTGTGATAGTAAAAATAGCTGGTTTGAAGTTGTACTTTGATTTGACTCAGATGAAATGTGGACTCTGTCCCTATCTGCTCACATAACCACTCCAATGCTTTTCATCTGTTTGTGTTTGCTGCTTCTGTCTATTCCTCCCATATGCATTGTCTGCATGTCTATGAATTATGTTAAGGTTTTAAGGTTTTATATCCCTGAGGAATACTTTCTCTGAATCTTCTAGCAAATCCTCAGCCCATTTATCATTTCTCAGTAGTGGCATAGCCTTTGATTCAGATTTGAAGAGTATAATTTGCATTTAGTATGCTAGAACAATGAGGCTGCTAATGAGACATGTCTACCAAAGAATCTGCTTCATAACCTAATTTGTCACGGGTCTAGTTTTTGATGTTAAATTAGAATTTTGAGGTCACAAATAAAAGGATATATTAAAGATATATTGACATAAGGTAAGCAAAATGAACAGAATTCAGGAGATCCTGCTTCATGCTTTGTGAGCTCCCAGTACTGTTGCTAGGAGAAGAGCACGTTAACAGTCCTCTAAACTAGTAGTTGCCTGGGGAACCCACAGAAACTTGTGCTATTTCTACACATCTGTACAAACTCACAATATTTTTCTTCCCTGTCCTCCCTTTTTCCTCCTCTCTCGCATAACAAAAGCCATGGAGAATCTTGACCATAGAACTAAATCCTTTGTCATTCTCCAGCATACAGGTCTCCCAGTCAAGACCTAGTAGCTTTGAAGAAAATGATATGTGTCCAGGTCTTGACTGACCATAATAATTGTGAATGGTTGACCCAATACAAGCTGAGGATCATGAACATCACACCTGGTAATGGTCACTGGCACTTTTATTTGGAAGTTGTTGCTGTTCCGTTGCTTAAACTGTCTAAGTCTCATTTAGGAATTGCATACGTTTTAGGAAAAGTGAAATGTACTTACTTAAAAAAAAAAATCAGGATCATTAATTACCACATAAGTAATTCTGTGATGGAAGAATCAGTTAGTCTTTGCTTACTAGAAAAAAAGCTTTAAACTGCAGATGGTTAAGCAGTTTGAATCTGCGCGTTCTAAAATAGTTGGCTGAAGGACATATCTGGCCTTTTATATTCACTTTGAATAAACCTTGGAGTAATCCAGAAATGCAGAAAATTATTGTGGCATCTTAAGTTTTCTTTTTAAGAAAAATGGGGTAAACCTCATGACTATAGGTCAATTGGCATGTAGCAATTCTAAGCAAAAAAGTCTGTAGGATGGGATCCTATTGCAGAGTTGGAAATAAGATATAGGAGTTATCTCCGGGGTCTTCACTGGAAAACAGATATTTTAAATCATCTTTGACAAAAATAGCAGTAATAGAACAGTGTAAATTAAAATACAGCATTTATATTACCCACAAAGTAGATGTTAAATGAATGTAGAACTGATTAACTGGCAGATAATAGTAATCACTGAAAGGCAATATTTCTACTAGAGTTACAGAGAATGGTGCTGGGTTAATGCAGTTTCATTTTTTT